CATATGAAAGAAATTCTATTTTCAATAAAACATACTGAATTAAACAATAATACATAATACTGAAAATAATTTTAGAAACTCTAATAAAATAAGGAGGTGAAATCACTGTTTGATCTGATGCCTCTTCCCTTAGCCTATACTCAGAGACTAGGATTTAAAGTAATGTATGACATTGCTTCTTCTTAACTATTACCTGAAAGAATTGGTCTAAATCATCTATTAAAATTTTATTCTGGCAAAGATCTTTCCCTATTTAAGAATCCCTTACTTAAAAAAAACCAGAGAAGATTTTTTTTAAGATGATGAAAAAAGGATGAAGAAAATATTTACAATTATATAGACAACATGAAAATAAAATTATAAAAATAAAAGTATAAGAACATCTTAATCACAAAATAGGTGACTAGCAAGGACAAAAAAATATCTGAAAAATAATTTTAAAAAATTAAAAAGAGCTGTCAAGAGGGCTCAGGGGCTAAAAGCACTTGCCACTCAAGACTGATTGTCTGTATTGTAGCCCTGGAGCTCAGCCATGTGAAAAGTTCATGTGCATTTGAATCCCAGCACTCCTGTGGAAAGGCAGGCAGTAGAGATGGGAGTCGCTGCTAGAATCCAGGGGACCAACAAGACTAGACTATGCAGGGCAGAACCAAGAGACTCTGCCTCAGAAGCAAGGTGGGGGAAAATTACTGGTCATGGTCTACACCGAACAACATGGCACATGCAGGCACATACGCACATATACACTTATATCATACACACACTCACACACACAATTTTTTTTTGAAAAATAAAAACCTAGGATGGTGATAACTCCAGTAGTTCCTTTATTGTACAGGATTGTTTTGGCTATCCTATGGTTTCTGTTTTTCCATAGGAAGTTGAGCATTGTTCTTTCAAGGTTTGTAAAGAATTGTGCTGAAATTTTGATGGGGAATGTGTTAAATCTGTAAATTGCTTTTGGTAAAAGGACCAGTTTTACTATGTTAGTCCTACCCATCCATGAGCGTGGGAGATCTTTCCAACTTCGGATATCTTTAATTGTTTTCTTCAAAGACTGGAAGTTCTTGTCATACAGATCTTTCACTTGCTTGTTTAAAGTTACCCCCGAGATATTTTATGTTATTTATGGCTATTGTGAAGAGTGCTGTTTCCCTGATTTCTTTCTCAGCTATTTTATTGTTTGTATGTAAGAGGGCTACCGATTTTTATGAGATAATCTTGTATTTAGACACTTTGCTAAAGGGGTTTATCAGCTGTAGGAGTTCACTGGTAGAATTTTAGGGATCGTTATATAAATGTTATCATGTCATATACAAATAGTGATACTTTGACTTTTTTCCCCATTTATATCCCCTTGATCTACTTTTGTCGTCTTATTGCTTTAGTTAGAACTTCAAGTACTGTATTGCATATATATGGAGAGAGTGGACAACTTTGTCTTGCTCTTGATTTTAGTGGAATTGATTTGACTTTCTCTCCATTTAATTTGATGTTGACTGTCAGCTTGCTGAATATTGCTTTTACTAAAAGACCTCACTCTACATAAGTCCAGTTACGCTGAACTTGATAAAAGAGAAAGTGGGAAGTAACCATGAATGCATTAGCACAGGAGACAACTTCTTGCATAGAATACCAGTATCACAGACACTAAGATCAACAATTAATAAATGGGACATCATGAAACTTAAAAGCTTCTTTAAAGCAAATAGAACTATCAATAGGACAAAATGACAGCCTTCAGAATGGGAAAAGATTCTCACATCTTGACAGAGGGGTAGTTTCCAAAACATATAAAGAGTTCAAGAAACTAGGCAACAAAACCACAAATAATCCAATTCAAAAATGAGGTACAGACCTAAACAGAGAAATCTCAACAGAAAAATCTTAATGGCCAACACTTAAAGAAATGTTTTACATTATTAGCCATCAAGGAAATGCAACCCAAAAATAACTCTGCAATTCCATCTTAAACATCTATCAGAATGGCTAAGACCAGAAACACAAGTGACGACTCATGCTGGAAGGGATGTAGAAAAAAGGAAACATTCCTACATTGCTGGTCGGAGTCCAATCTTGTACAGCTACTTCAGTAATAAATACAGCGCTTTCTCAGAAAACTGGGAATCAGTCTATCTCAAAACCCAGCAATACCACTCTGGGCATATACCCAAATAATGCTCAGTCATAACAAAAGGACACTTGCTCAACTATGTTCTTAGCAGCTTTAACTGTAATAGTCAGAATCTGGAAATACCCTAGATGCCCCTCACTCTAAGAATGGGTAAAGAAATGTGTTATATTTACACGGTGGAGTATTACTCATCTGTTAAAAACAAATGACCTCAGAAAATTTGAAGACACATGGATAGAACTAGAAAAAAAATCAGCTTTAATGGGGTAATCCATACCCAAAAAGATAAGCACAGCATATACTCACTCATACAGGGTGATTAGCTGTAAAATAAAGGATAACCAGGCCACAATCCACTGAGCTAGAGAGTCTAAGTTACAAGGAGGACCCAAGGGCGGGGAGACATACAGATCTTCCTGGGAAGAAGAAATAGAAGAAATCTCCTGGATGGAGGGGGGGGGGGGGGGGCCATGGGAACTTGAGGGATCAGGCTTGGGGGTGAGTAGAGGAGAGCACTGAGAGAGATGACAGGAAAGGCGGGTTTTTCAGGGAAACTCGCACAAATCTACAGAGATTACCCCAGTTAAGACTTTTTGCAGTAGTGGGTATGTAGCCTGAATTGGCCAACTCTTGTGATCAGACTGATGACTTCCCCGAATGTCACCAGAGGATTTTCATCCAATAACTGATGGAAACAGATGCAGAGACACAAAGTAAAATATTAGACCAAGCTCAGGGAATCCTGCTGAAGAGAGGAAGGAAGGATTGTAGGCACAAAAGGGGTCAAGACATCACAAGAAAACTCAAAGAAGAATCTAACTTGACAGGATTATAGAAACTCACAGAGTCTGAACCAGAAACCAGGGAGCCTGCATGAGATTGATGTAGGCCCTCTACATATGTGTGATAGTTATATAGCTTGGTCTACCTGTGCGATTCCTAACAATGGTAACAGGGGCTATTCCTAATGCTTTGGTTGGCTCTTGGGAACCTGTTCCTCATACTGGATTGTCTTGCCCAGACTTAAAACAAGAAGAGATGTTTAGTTTTTCAGTAACTTGTTATGCCATGCTTTGTGAAACCCATGGGAGGGCTGCTCCTTTCTAAACAGGAACAGAATTGAGAAGGGAGGAAAGGGGAGGTGGAAGGAGGAAAAGTGAGGAGAAGAGGGAGGAGAAATTATGTTCATGATGTAAAAATAAATAGATAAATAGATAAAATGCAAAAATTCTGTATAAAATATAATTTATTTTCTTTTTTTCCCTCTATTTTCTATTTGCCAAGATGAAGGGTAAGTCGTAGTAGTTCAGTTCATGAGCCCAAGAGGAAGAGAGATGTGATGAGAATGGTCATATATACAGTCACATTGTGAGGCAATTCTACATTCTCTTCTCAAACTGAAAACAGAAATCGCTCCCTCCTCACAGAGTGGCTAATGTGACTTGACTGAAGGATTAATGTGTTTAGCAAAATGACCAGTAAATCTTTAATTAAAATGATTCATTGCCACTCATGTACATGGACATGAAAATAGGCACAAATACTTTAATAAAATGTTAGGCAACATTGATGTCATATTTAATAGTCTTTGACAAGCATTGAACGGGTTTTGTTTGTTTGTTTGTTCATTTAACACAAGAGTGAACTGTAGGAGGAAGGCGCTTGTTGGTTCCTGGCAGCTTAGCCGTGAAATAATCACATAGAAACTATATTATTTAAATCAGTGCTTAGCCCATTAGCTCTAGCTTCGAATTGGCTAACTCTTACATCTTAATTTAACCCATCTCAAATAATCTGTGTATTACCATGAGGTCGTGGCCTACCAGCAAAGTTTCAGCATGTCTGTCTCTGGTGGGGCGACATGGCTTCTCCCTGACTCTGCCTTCTTTCTCCCAGCATTCACTTTAGTTTTTCCTACCTACCTAAGTTCTGCCCTATCAACAGGCAAAGGCAGTTTCTTTATCAACCAGAGGTATTCACAGCATACAGAGGGTAATACCACATCGACCTAGAAATTCCAGATTGGAACTAAAATAAATTATATGTTCCTAGATTTTTCTTCAGCAATGACAGGCCAGTTCTAAGTCATTTTGTCTCAGTATGTCATTCCATGAGATAAACTGCTTATGTATAAACACACACACATACACATATTTATATATTAAAGAAAAAAAGTCTAAAGCAAACAAACAAAACTCCCTCATGAATAGTAAAAAGGGAGCTTCATCTGTTTTATAATAAAATCTAGATTTAATTTTAAACAATTGATTATGAATTTTTATATGCCAAAACTGAGTTCATTTCTGATGAACTCAGAAATGATCACTTTTCTGGTGATAAGTTCATTATTTGAAACAATGTGTCTTAACATACACACACTTCTTAAGTGCTTGACTCAAAAACAAAAAAATAATACATGACTTATGTTCAGTGAACTATTTGATTTATAAATATACTGGTATTTCTTATTATATAAAATAACTGAGTAATTTAATCACATTGTTTATTTCTTTATGGAACATAAGATTTTGTTAGCATATGATGTGGGAGAATTATCTGTATTCTGTCAATCATGTATTTTAATAAAACGCTGATTGGCCAGGCAGGAAGTATAGGCGGGTCAACCAGACAGGAAGTAGAGGCGGGGCAATGAGAATAGGATAAGGCTAGGGAGGAGAAAGCTCCCTTAGCCATTCCTGCGCAGGCCACCGAAGAGGCAATATGTAAGCTGTCACACTGAGAAAGGTACTAAGCCCATGTGGCTAATGTAGATAAGGATAATGGGGTAACATAAGTTATAAGAACTAACAAGAAGCCTGACCTAATGGACCAATCAGTTTATAACCTTATGGAGTCCTGTGTGTGACTTCTCTTTGGGATTTGCCGGTTGTGGGGTACCGGGTGGGACGGAAACCCCAACAAGCCGGCCCCCTCATATTACAAGCATAGACCTGTTAGAATGAAAATAACGGTTTCTAGTTAAGAGAATAGATTCTCTAACCTTGGTGGGGTCACATTCCAATAGATCTAGATTTGTCACTTTGACTGGCTTTCCTTAAGCCATGCTATAAAGATGGTGGAATAACCACTTTAATGAGATACTGTACTACACTTTTCCTCTTTAATGAGATACTATACTTTCCTCCTCATAAATCTTTTTTTTTTAACTTTTATGTATCTCTCATATAATACATTCCAACCTCAGGTTCTCCTCCTTCCACCCCTCCACCCCTCACCAAGCCTCCTTTTCTCCAAATCCACCTGCCCCTATAGCTATCCATAACAGAACAGGCCTTCCAGGAACATCAAGGGAACAGAACAAGTTACAATAAGATACAATAAGACCAGGCACAAACTCTCCCATCAAGGCTGGATAAGGCAACCCAGCAGGTGGAAAGGGGTCCCAAAAGCAGACAAAATAGTCAGAGATACCTACACTCCCACTGGAAGAAGATTCCCCCAAAACACCAATCCGACGACCATAACATATGTGGAAGACCTAGCATAGACCCATGCAAGCTCCACTACTGCCACTTCAGTTTCTGTGAGTCCTTGTGAACCCTGCTTAGTTGATTCCCTAAACTGTTCTCTCCAGTTGTCCTTGACCCCTATGGATCCTATAATTCATCCTTTCTCCTTCCAAAAGGTTCTCAGAGCTTTGAGGGGGACTCAATGGAGACCTCCAACCTGGACTCTTTATCCACCTAGTGTTTGGTTATGGATCTCTGTATCTTCAATTGCAGGAGGCAGCATCTCTAATGACTTCTGGACTAGGTACCAACCTATGAGTATAGTAGAACATCATTAGCAATCATTTAACTGTTTTTTTCCAGTCATATTTGGTTCTACCCTAGGTCTCAGAGATGTCCAGCTTACAGTTCCTGGTGATCCAGTATCAGTCATGCGCTCCCTCTCATTGACTTCAAATTAGACTAGTTATGATTTGACCAGTCCCACAAGTTCATTGTCACCATTTTTCCAGCACATCTTATAGGTAAGACAGATTTGTAGGTCGAAGGTTTTGTGGTTTGGATGCTGTCCAGTTACACCACTGGAAGCCTTGTCTGGTTACAGAAGATGGCCGGTTCAATCTCCATAGTGCAGTAGCTTTCAGGGAATCAGGGCAGCAGGCCCAGAGCTTATAAGTCAGCCTGCTTGTTTGCATTATTTAAAATCATATAACTTCCATTTTCCTTTCTATCTATTTTCTATGTTTTACTTAACACTATGTTGGGTTTTTGAACTTTCTTTAAAGGCCCCTCTCCTGTTGTATGTGTGGTTACTGTCTGTCATGTGTCTGAACTTGATGCCAGCTTACATGGAATACTTTTTTTCTTCTCTCCACCATTTTTCTCCTTGAGGCAGATGTTGGGACAGTACTTCTATCCTGAGGTCTTTCTATTAAAATCTGGTAGCGGATGTATTTATAAAATAGGTTGTGATATTAGTATCAATCTGTATCTTTATCCCCTAACTTATCGGGTGATTTATGCTAAATATATGTGACTTTCTGTATGCCAATCATGCTTCAAAAAAGTGGAGGTAAAAATCAAATGAGTTTCTCAAGTGCCCCCTTTTCTATTACTTTTTTATGAAGACTGTTTTCTTCTTCACTTTTTTGTCATTTAAAAGAAACAGCTATTTCCTGATATAAAACAATTCTGATGATGAAACTTGCCCTCCCTTTTCTTGATCTTGCCTTCATGACAAAGGGTTACCCTTAAGAAAGTGCACATAGAATGGATGGAAGGGCCAAAGGTGACTTTCTTCTGTTCTGAGCCCATACTCATCATACTATGTATCCTACCATTGTTTTAACCTTACACTGCAAGTTTCTTGTGTTTGTGGACAATAGCAAAGTGTGTTAGGATTTCTTACGCTGTGAAGAGACACCATGACCATGCAACTCTTACAAAGAAAACAGTTAATCCTGGTGACTTGTTTATAGTTCAGAGGTTCAGTCCATTATCATCATGGTCAGACATGGCAGCACGCAGGTAGACATGATGCTGAAGAGGTAGCTGTTCATGTTGAAATGCAGGCAACAGGAAGCGAACTGTCACACTAGGAATAACTTGAGCATATGAGACCTTCAGTCCTACCTGTCCTCATAATGACACAATTCCTCTAACAAGCTCATTTCTTCTCCAACAAAGCCACACCTCCTAATAGTGTCACTTCCTTTGGGGCCATTTTCTTTCAAACCACCACATCCAGTTTTCTTAGCTTTTCCAACCTGACTGAGGGTCTTCCATGTTCACTTTTTTTTTATCATGGTCCATGTGTGCCACTTATATTTCAACATGGAGAATATGAGAATTCACTATCTTCTACCTCTAACTACAGCTTCTGAGTAGTGTCTGTCATATATAACCTGCATTTTTCTGTGACCTAATGACATTAAAAGCTTAAAGCATTTACCTGTACTTTTAATTGCAATACAAACTCAACTCACATTGTATTTAAGTAAAGCGTGAGAGAAAATTGTTGATCTGTATATATGTCTGTAAATCCAGAGGTGAAACCGTTACCTGATGAGGAGCTTTATTAGCTTCCATAACGCTTTTAAGCATTATGTAGTAATGTCTGTAGTCTCTTTAGCTGGCTTGGCTGTATTAAAGTCAGTGTTCAATTCAACTTTGTCAAAAAAGGTTCACACTCTGTATGGTTTTGCTTGTTTCTCTTGGGTTTGGCTTTTCATACTAGGACAAGTCATATGACAGTGAGACAACCATCTCAAATTTGACTGTGTAGCTCCTTGTTTAAATACTGTGAGAGTTTGTTCCATTCCTACCCACAAGAATTTCAGCAAATCATTGCTGGGGTGATTTGATCCATTTGCTTGAGATGTGTTTCTATAATGGAGCTTCCTGGGATCCGGTGGAAGTACTTGGGTTGGTCATCACCAGATTTGCTCTCCTCACTTCTGTAGGAACACAGAGAGAGAGAGAGCCCATCTGAAACCAGAGTTCAATTGAAGGGTAATTTTGTAACTACTATCAAAGTAGAACTCAATAACAGAGACAAGCACTTTGTTTTCTAATAGTAAAAATATGGTGATTCATAAAGTTATTGAAGAACACATAAGCATGACAATAATCATGGAAATGAAGTAATGTTAATAGTCTCTTTTTAGAAGGGTATTTTTATAAATATTTGTATTATTGAGGGAAAAGAAGTATGTCTTTGTTTGACAGGGTCTGATAGCCTGTATGATGATGCAATGACAAATCTCTAGTATCAGCTTCTCATGACAGGTACCTCCCAGGAACCAGGAAAGTATTTTTCTATAATATGCTGCTTTCTTAAAAACAAAGGCAACTCTGTTTAAATTCCATGAGTAATTGTGTCTAGTCTCTAAGACAAAGTAAAAGACTCTGAATGCAGGGAAGATTTTTATATAGTACTAATTAGCAAAGAGAGAAGACAAATGAACTGATCAAAGTCTTTCTCACAGATAAGAAAATATAGTAGATTCTCATTCTTTGTCAGTTTTTGTGGTACACAGCTATACGTCTCATTGTGCTAGGGAGACTGAGGCAGGAGGCCAACATAAGCTATTAGCAATAGTCTCTGTATAATTCAACAAGTAAGACCTGCAAATCCAAGCATACTACTTCTTATGTCTTGTCGTATTAGGTCTAGTCTTAACAGTCGCTCCTGAGAACATTCACAATAGTCAAACACAGTGGTTAACATTTAATGACATGAAGCAGTTTGTGTTATTTTAGACATAACAAGAATAATAATACCAATCCAACTGCCTAAAAGTTAAACATATAATTATGAGAGATTCTACTTTTATTAACAAATAAGACTTATCCAAATATTTAAAAATGAAATAAAATGTGTAATGTTCATTAATTTTTAATTCATATTTTTAAAACTATTTCTATGAATATCCTATAAAGAAAGGAATACTTGGAAAGCATAAAAACATATTTTTTATTTTAGTTTAGATTTTTAAAATAAAAATTACTATGAAGTTTTGTATATATTCAATATAATTGTACCTTGTTGTTTCTTCATTTTTTATAATAACTGCTAATGACAGAACGTAAATGAAGTGAAAAATACTACTACAACATACTTACTTGCTAAACAATATGCTATGTATTAAGGGAATAAGAATGTATACATTATGGATGTTGTCTTCATTATTCATCTTTACATATGTTGACAATCTGTCAACAAAACAATAAGACATCTGAAAGAAAAATTAAATTTAGTTTTCAGCATGTTGCTAGTTTTCAGTCTCATGAAATCATAGTATTATACCCATGAGAGAATTTAAGATGTCCCCAGAAGCAGCACTGAAAGTCTTTCCACTAGAGAAAAGCGTGTGCTGAAAGAAAAATGAAAATAAGAGTTAGCCAGTGAATCAGAAAACGAGGAGCTGTTATATTAGATGCAGTTAGTCCCGGTCTTCTGAACTGTTTGTTACTCTAACTCTTTCTGAACTCTTTCGCTAACATATTACTAATGTGATTATTCCTTGACGGATATCCAGGGCACCCAACTAAAAGTTCATAATAATGAACATTTCTCCCCCCACACATTTTTTTTATTGATTCTCTGGTAGTTTCATATCACAATCCCCTCACAGTACTTCCATGTCTGCCTCCCTCTTGTGACCCCCCCCCAAAAAAAACCAAGAAGTAAAGAATTAGAAAGAAAGGAAGAAAGGAAGGAAGGAAAGAAGGAAGGAAGGAAGGAAGGAAGGAAGGAAGGAAAAAAGGAAGGAAGGGAAGAAGGAAGGAAAAAAGGAAGGAAGGCAAGTCATTAGTGTTATTTATATTCATACTGGAACATGATTTAGTGGTCTACCCCTTAAGTAGAATTGAGTTTTTCTTCTCCCATACTTCTGCCAGAAGCCACCAATTATAGAGAGATACTCCAGCATCTCCACCACACTTTTTGAAGAGTTCTCCTCAGTGACTTCCTGTGTTGGCTGTTATTCTAGGGGATGGGGTAGAGGGATTGTCACAGAAACCTTTCATGTCCTTCACTCCCAACTGTGCATTGACAATCACCAATATCACAGCAAAAGTTGTATCCTTGCTCTTCACAGTCAGCCGGAGCGCGGGCATGATTCTCCAGCCAATTTCTGGCAATGGCACAGACCGCGAACATAGCCCGCTGTGGCAGTAGTACTGCGAATCAAACAAGGTCCTCATAGGCTGCCCAGACCATAACATTAGCACAGCCTCAGGCCATACACATCAATACAGGATATCAATGTGATTTCAGACTCTAGCACAGACCATAGACTTCTGCATGGTTCTTGATGATAACATGGGCCACAGAAATCGTCTGGTCCCCAGCAGGGTGTGGCAGCCCTTTAGGGCGTGGGTGGTCATAGACCTAGCTGGCTCACTGCAGCTGCCGGCTCTTCTGCTGGCGTAATCTCCCCAGGTCCGGCTCAATAAGCAACTCAATGAATTTAAGCTTCAGTGTGGAATTCAGATATCATAAACTTATACGTATTTCTAGATTTTTGAGCTCTTTGGAAGAAATCAAACTGACACCAGTCAATTCATCTTGATCTAAATGAATTCAGCATTTCTAGTTGTATCCTCATCTGTGAAGTGATTTGTATAGGGTGTGACTTGAATATATGAATATATGTAAAACGAACAGTGCCTGGACCAAAGCAAGGCTTTGGCAAATGAGGTTGATCCTTCCACTCCTGTCGTCACTATTGTCCCTTATCACGTCTGGCAGTGGCAGTAGTGTAGAGGCGGTGTTCAATGGGTTGTATCTGCCCCTGGTTTGCAAGGTCTGTATATGCAGGCATTCACATTGAAAGGCCACCTTACTTTAAAGTTTGCAGAGTGGTTCAGACCACATCCTGCCCGCAGAGTTTCCTGGTTTCTACACTGCCACATTTCCACATGAGAGACACTTAGCTCTTTAATTTGCATTTCCCTGACAGCTAAGCATGGTGAGCACTTTTAGCCATGTTTATTTTTTCTTCTGAGAATTCTTTTCAGACTCACAGTCTTTTTGGGGAGGGAGCTATTTTTTCTTCCTTTTTTTGTCACTCTTTGTTTCTTGAGTTATTCATTATGTATATTAAGTCTCTTATGGATGTATATGTATATATATTCTTTCCAACTCTGTGGGCTTGCTTTGCTCTATAGAAGTTCCCTTCAACCCCTAAAAGTCACAGCTTATCAAAACCCCAGTAATAGTAACAGACAAGGGAAACCTCTCTTTGAGTTGTTGGTCAGGTGCCCAAGAGACTCTCAAAACAATTTAGGCTGTTGGGATTGCCCTTGGTTGATTCCCACAAATTGAAGGTTGCTGAAACCACCACACACTTCAGACACAGGATTTGGAGGAATTGAACTCAACTGACATGGAAGAATTGTCCCCGAGGGTAGCTTTTCTAGTATGAGAAGGTACAAGCTGCCAAAGAAAAAGAGGAATCAGAAGTCCTACTCAATGGTAAATCCCCTGGACCACAATGACAGGCCCAGGATGACATTCCCAATGGTGCAATTAGTAGCACTTATATCTTGGGGGCAAGCAAAGCTGTCCAATTTGACCTAAAGTTCACTCAACAGAAGAGAATCTTGGGTGTAGGCATTATGTTGTCAATGTACCAGTCAGGGCTGGGCACTCCATGGTCACCATCTGTTGCCAAGGGCAAGTTTGTTGATGAGATATGCTACACTTATCTGTGCATATAAGGAAATGTATGTACAATACAGTTTAAAGCTATATTGATTTAGGAAAATGGCAGTAGTGGGTCCTCATCTAGGGTCTACAATCACACTTTGGCAGCTTTATCAAAGGAATTTTCTGAGACTGTGGTGTGGGTCCTGTTGTGCCTATGCTGCTTTGACAGCCCACTTCAGGTATACATCACCCATGACACACACAAGCTCTCCTTACTGACTGTGACACTGACCCTCCCACATTGGGTCCTACCTGTGTTGATACTGCTGCAGTGTTCCTCCTATCTATACCTGGACTGGTGGCAGGGATGTAGAAAGAGATATGGAAAATGACACGTGTCTTTAACAAATTACTAGCATTACCACCACCATACTGACAGTGATAAATTGCTAACTGGGTAAAATGAGAGGGGCAGTACCGCAAAATTGAGCAACGACTGATTATTTAGTGCTAGAAAGACCACATTGACTATAAACAATATCCAGATGTGTGCTGCCTTAGTATTTCAGACTTTTGACATAACATACAAGATAAGATAGGCCTGTCTTTTTTCCCATGACAAAAGATGGTAAGATATACACCAGGTGTTTTCCCTTGCTGTGCTTGCATTAGCTTAAGCTAACTGGAAACATCACCTCCTTATGTTCTTGCTTGCTTTAATAATAAAACGGAGAAGTGCTTTGTTTGCACTATTTTGAGCTCAAATGCATGGAGTCCACAGGTACCTGACTTAGGTCTTAGGGATATCTTTCAATAGTGGAGACTTAGTCTTGCTGGCCACAGGGCTTGTTGAACGAGGCAGAAACTGAAAGTGTTTTACTCTTTTATTTTTTAAGTGTTGATCTTTCTAACATAGCTAATTCTCTCATTGCATCTTTCCACTGCAGTGCATTTGCTGTGCTGGGTTAATAGCTGGCACTGTATTAACTCTGTGCAGATGTTTGCCGAGAGCATGTTGGGGCTTCTTCCAACCTTGTCGAACCTGGGTATCTATTCACTTTCCAATTCTTGGCCAATCTTCCCAGATGCTACTGTACTTGAATAGTTAATCAACTGCAAAGTGTTGTTGATGAAAACCAAACAAACAGGTAAATGAACTTAAGGTGTTGTGTGTGTGTGTGTGTGTGTGTGTGTAACAAACATGTTTAGAAGAACAAATCATGAACTCAAGAGGGAGAAAGGGGCATGACGGGAGTTGGAGGGGAGAAAAGACAGTAGAAATGATACAAATATGGTACTCGGGTATAAGATTTTCGGAAAATAAAAAGTATAAATTATAAAAGAACGAAAGGAAGGGAAGGAGGAAGGGAGAGGGTCTGAGAAAGAGAGGGAGGGAGGGGGAGAGAGAGAGAGACAGAGGGAGAGAGAGAAGCCAGGTAGTGGCACACGCCTTTAATCCCAGCATGTAGGAGGCAGAGGCAGGTGAATCAATGTGAGTTAGAGGCCAGCCTGGTCTAAAGAATGAGTTCTTGGACAGCCAAGTACAAGTACATGGAGAAACCCTTGTAATCCCAGCCTCAGTCTCCATCTTTGGAGGCCCTTCCCCTGTGCCCCTTGAACCTTGACTGCTCCTCCAGAAAGGTCGTTAGCCCACCAAACCATGACCCTTCACCAGGGAAGGTCAAGACCACTCCCATAGACTATTTAAACTGCTCCCCAGAAAATAAACACATGGTTTTTCCTCTTCCTCTTGGGTGGGTGGTCATTGGCAGCTTCCCGATTCCCCTCAGGGCCACCCAGGAGCACAGGTGTCTAATTAAACCTGAATATCTTTTAATCTGGTCTGATTTGGCTCGATTGAGATTATTTTGCGTTGGCAGAGTGCTTGGTTAGGAAATATTCCTAGCAACCCTATCTTTAAAAAGAAAGCAAAACAGAAGACAAAGAGACATTTAGCTAAGGAAATTGTACCTCAGACACAGCTAAGTAATGAAAATGGCTACCTCTATTCCAGGAAGCTAACAGCTGCTGCCTCAGAAGGAAGCTAAGGAGAGCTTACTGCCACCTCTCTTTCCACCTGGTGACTGAAGTCCTGCATGTTTCAGAAATCACTAGTTCCTGAGCTCGCTCTCTGTAGTCTCCACCAATCTCCCTTCGTTCCCTCCTCAACTCCCTGCCAGTCTGGTAATATGGATTTCCCACGGATATGAAATATGAGTGCAAGGATGGTCCCTGTAATATCATTGTTTATGCCACTGGCTTCTCTAATGCAAGCTGTTGGAGTACAGGTGTTTAGAGTATATCCATATGGTTCTTTGGATTTCCTCTCTGTCTGTTGTTAGGTTCCCTGCTTCATCTTTTATTCTGATTACTATGTACCAAGAGAATTTTTTCTCTGGCACAGTTTATTTGGTGTTCTGTGTGCTTCCTGAACCTTGACAGGCACCTCTTTCATTAGGTTTTGGAAAATTTCTTCTATAGTTTTTATTGAAAATATTTTTTTTTTTGCAGTGGACATGGGTTTCTTCTTTTTCCTCTGGATCTATTATTTATAGATTTTGGCTTTTGAGAATGTCCCAGATTTCTTGAATGTTTTGTGCCTGGATTTTTTTTTCATTTTAGATTTAACATATTCTTTGACTGAGGAATCCATGAGGTTTCTGTTTGAGTTCCTATATTTTTCATTTCCATATTTACCTCAGTTTCACTTTTATTTGTTGATTCTGTTTCTCCTTTCAGGTCTTGAACTATTTTACTCATTTCCTTCCACTGCTTGGCTTGTGTTTTCATAGTTTTCTTTAAGGGATGTTTTCATTTCTTCTTTAAGGACCTCTATCATATAAATAAAGGGTATTTTAAGGTCCCCCTCTTGTGCTTCAGCTACCTTGCCTTTTTCAGAACCCACTGTAGTAAGGTTGCTGGGCTCTAGTGGAGACATATTGCCTTGGCTGTTACTGTTTGTGTTTCTAACGCTGGCATCTAGGCATCTATCTGGGTTAGGGATGACTGTAAGTCTAGATGATGATGTCTGGTCTTTTTTTGTTTTGTGGGTGTCCTGCTTATTGGTTTCTATTTTCCCCTCTGATTTTTAGGAGAGTGTGGATGCTGTGTCTTGCCTGGTAGAGAATACTTCTAGCATCCTGCCAGGTTTGGTCACTGTGGGGTTTCTAGTTCAATGTGTTTTTAGGTGTTGGGCATTGACACTTGAGAATGGAGATGGATTAGAAGCAGGGAGGTGCTGAGGAGGTCCACAGGAGAGAGGTAAGCAGGTTGTTTCACCAGGATCTGCCTAGCCCACTGGGAATATGGGCAGAAAGTGAGCAGAGGTCACATCAAGCAGTTTGCTATCGAGTTGGGGTGAGACTGGGGTGGGGGTGGGGGGATTAGGTTTGGTGGGAAGGAGAGGGAAGATCTGAAGCTTGCATACCTGTTGTGTTGGCCTATGTACTTCCCTGGCAGACTTGCCCTGTTGGCTCCCAGGTAATGCTGCCTGCTGGGGTTGGGGGCTGGGATAAAGGGATGAGTGGGGGCAAGGAAGGTTGGAGGAGAAAATATGCACAATCTGCTGGAGATGAGGGCATGAGGGGAGGGGACACTACAGCAGGATGTCTGCTACAGACCT